ACATGTCCTTACCTATTGACGAAGATGATTTCCACTTGAATGGCATTATTATTTATGCATATAATAGCGTTATTTGGCAATTATAGCCACCTTATTCGGCATGAACACTCCTAACCACTTCATTTTGTTGGCCTTTTCACAGTTTTACTTGGTATCTCGAACCGTCTCGAACAAAGCTCTCCAATCTCGAGTGACAATGAGTGACAGGCTGACAGTGAGAAAATTTGTCAACAAATAATGCAGGATCATGAATGCAGGTTATGTTGAATAGCTCATTTGACACAGGAAATAGATGACGCCACTTGCCGTCCCTTCAAAATTTCATTACAGGGCGATTTGGCGATTTTCTCTGAATGAACAGTCATGTATAACCCGTCAGACAGTCCATTTAGCCGTCATTGGTCGAACTGATCAACATAGGAAATAAATTCCTTGTGTTAGAAAACAAGGATTAAAATCGTGTCAGAAACTTGGAAAGGCGAACCCGCTAATGGAAAATCGTCGATAAAATCCTTATTTTTGATTCAAAAGCAGATTCTGTAAGTTATAGCATAAACAATGAATGCATGCGGTGTATGTTCGGTTGCCTATAAAACAATCGTGCATTAATAGACAAATCGTTCATTAATAGGGGTCATTAATGAACGATTTTATATACATTGAACTTAGTCGTTGATACGAGGTCGACGAAAATAGTTATTTGACCAACTAGTGTATTAAACGAGGGCAATTAATGACCGAGATATTTTAACGTGCGAGCAAAGCGAGCGCGTCAATATTCGAGATCATTGATCGCCTTCTAATATATACGACTTGGTTACAAAATTGTTCCGTCGACTTTATTCCTCATTTCTCCTGCAATGAAGAAAACTTGTTCGCGAATTCATCATTCATCCGGAAACTACTATATATAAGAATCACCCAGTAGCCTTTGTTACTGGCATTAGTGACATTTGACATTTGTCGTTATGATCTACCTAGAAAATGGATTCCTTGTGTTAGAAAAATCGTTTCAGAAACTCGGAAATGGTGTGAACCCGTTAACGGAAAATCTTCGATGAAATCCATATTTTCGATTAAAATGCAGATTCCGTAAGTTATAGCATAAACAATGAATGCACGTGGTGTATGTTTGGTTGCCTATAAAACCATCGTGCATTAATAGACAAATTGATTATTATACAGGGTGATCCACAGTGGATGGCCTATCAGAAGTATCTGGAGAACGAAAAGACAGAACATTCTGGAAATTGGGATCCTTCGATAATTGAACATTTTCTATCCGTCTCAAATATTTTCATCAATACAGTGTTGCCACTTCTATCAGAAACAACTAGCAACTTCGTTATTTTGAATGGAGCACACCGTATTTTATTGCATTTTTAGATTCTTCCTGAAAAGCTGATTTCATTAATGCATCACTCTTGTGGTCTAGCAGGAATGATTACAGAGATATAGGGTGTTCAGAATCGAGAATTTTCAATTTCAGGATTTTTTTGTGTCGAAACTATTCATTATCGATCAAAACGGCTCACATGTCCCTATCTTAACTTTTGATTCACTATTCACTGACATTTAATTGGAACAGATACAGGGTGATCAGAATTCTGAATCTTATTGAAGCTTGTACGTTTTCAAAGCGAGCGTTCACAGCGAGCGCTTTATTTCACTCGTTTTGTATCTTTTCGTTCGTTTTGTTGACTTATGGTGACGTGTGTCATTGGATATTTTTATTGTTTATTTATATTGGAGAACCATTATGGACTCTAATGAATCTTTTTTGAATTTCATATCATTTGAATAAATATTAAATAACATCAAAACATAATGGAAGGAAAATTTGTACAGTTGATGTTGATTGACGTGATGGAAGATGCGGAACAAATAGGGCTTTATTCCGAATTCAACTGGCCAGTACTGTCAGTTGATCCACTGACTCTGCTGAAAATATGTGTTCCGAAATATAAAATCAAAAATTCACTACTGTAATTCGGGACACGTTTTCATGGTTTTCATCAGTAGTAGTTTCTCGTTTATCTGAACTAGATGTTTATAGCCTCCTAATTGTTATAAATTTTGGAAATTTAATATCTAACATGGAAGAGAAATCGATTCTTGTATCCTCTATAGTTTCTACGATTGTTGACGATGGCGATTCAAGCTCGAGTGATGAAGAATACTTGGACATTTTGTTGCCATTAATTTTTCATGATGCACCAGATTGAGAATTGAGATCCATGAAAATCGCAATATGCCTTAATAATGATGAATTTTAGGAGACATTCCAGGTTTATTTAGTTTATTTAGCCAATGTTGCTCCTTTCCTTACCTGACCTACTACTTATACTCCATATCCATGATATTGAGAATCATTTCATTATAACAACGTAAATGAATGTTACATTCCTTCCCCCTCTAAAATATGACAGTTCACTGAAGCCACGGGTGCGTTTTTCATTCCAACATTTTATCATGCGCATGGATCGAAGAAACCATCAAACTGTTGCAAAATTCCGCTGGAATGTTGATGGACATCCATCAAACTGTTGTAATAAAATGCGCACTTTTAAATCGCATTTCGAGAATCCAGCAGTTTGGAGGAGATTGACATGACAGTTGACACATTTCAGTGTTGTTTTTTGTTTTGATTTGATAGAAAACAATTAATATTGAGGATTTTTGAGATTCTTGAGAGATTTTAGGAGAAAGAGTCAGTGTTAATCAATAAAGTCGAATTAGCCTTTTCTGATTCTCAAGATACATGATGACTGACACACAACAAAATCCGTGTTTCCACAGCTAGCTGAGACTAGGGTCCCTTGATGGAAATTGACGTTAAAGTCATCTTAACAGGGTACGAACAGATCCTCGTCTCCTCTCACTCTAAAGTGTTTGTGAAACAGTTATATAGTTCCATCCTTATTCAATTCTGGGGATAATCACTAGATTTTTGACATTCGTTGTTTTTTAGGTTATATTGAGGTCACTGGCGTATCATACGTAATTTCCATATGGAATTTCTGATTCAACTATACCAAGATATAGATGAACATTCCTCTAGTTTCAGAGTTTACTACTCCAGAATAATGTTTGCGATTCAGGGAACATATAAATTGTACTGAAAGCTTAATATATTTCACCAAAAGAGACTATTCTTAGACTGTATACCAGGGTTGACTGAATTGACTGAATGAATTCTGATTTCAAGCTGAGTAGTAGTTTGTCAATGAGCTGAATGAGCTGAGCCTTATGATTGAGAAATGGTGGAAACCGCGATATGGGTATCTAGACTACTGAACTCATGTCATGTGTGCTAAATATATTTTCAGAAATCCAACTCGGAGAAGAATTTATGGAGTTACTAATATCACACTATGTTTAAAACTTCGTCTAGGACCAAAAGTAGGCTGAAAAAAATTAATACGTAAAATGCGCAGGAAAGTAAAGAATAGAATATACTTCACCCCCATGTTATACATATGCATTTTCAGTCTCTTTTGAATGAAATGTCATTTTCGAATAATTTATTGATGAAAGTGTCGACAAAGAAGTAGGTATACGCTGAGTATACGCAGTATAACTTATAGGCACGTTATTTTCACTCTCGCATCCTATACATATTTTCTATTTGTGGCAGAGTAATAATTATATAAACTAATGTCTTTTGATGAAACAATCATCATCTCCTACCCCGAAAACTCCCAGATACCAATTTCGAATAGACTCGGATCTTCATTACAAAACTCGTACACCATATATTGGATCCGTCATCTTGAAAATCCCAATTCTGACGAAATAATTATAATCTCCGACCCTGGAAATCCCCAGATACCAATTTTGATTTTTTGATTAGAATCGGATCATAATTACAAGTTTTGTTCGCCATATTGGATCCGCTATCTTGAATTTCCCAATTTTGACAAAAAATCATAAGGTTCGACCCCGAGAACCCTCAGATACCAATCTTAAATATATAGAATCAAATCATAATTAGTTCATTTTGCTATACAGGGTGTTCCTAAACATCATGTACATCCGAAAGGGGGTAATTCCTCAGCTCATTTTAAGACTAAAAGTTCATATAAACATTGGTCCGCAAACGCTTTGTTACCGATCTACGGGGTGTTGAAATTTCAAGATTTTTTTTGTTTTTTCTTTATAGATCCTGCAGTTTTTGAGATATGTGGCTCAAATTTGAAACATAGATTATGTATAGGGCTTACATCGATGGACATCTCAAATGTTTGTGAGAATCTATAAAAAAATTGAAATTTCAACACCCCGTAGATCGGTAACGAAGCGTTTTCGGACCTGAGTTTATATGAACTTTTAGTCTTAAAATGGTCTGAGGAATTACCTCCTTTCGGATGTACATGATGTTTAGGAACACCCTGTATATTGGATCCGTCATCTTGAATTTTCCAAGTTTGACGAAACAATCATCACCTCCAACCCCGGAAAACTCCACATACCTTCCAATTTTGAATAGAATCGGATCATAATTACAAAACTTGTTCGCCATATGATCTTCCTCAAAAAGTAAATACCCTGTACATACCTATCACTAAAATTTTGAATGATTTTCTGTAGCGCCCATGGATGAGACGTAACAGCAATGTCAGGGATGCCAGTAGACAAAACTAAAATCTCTAGATCATTAAAAAAGAATGCAGCTATGATCTGTCCGTACCCTGTTGAGATGACTTTTATGTCAATTTCCATCAAGGGACCCTAGCTGAGACGAAATGGATGTCTGGTACATTCCACTCGATTTTAGTACAATTCAAAAGTGATTTCAGTACAATTAGCTTTTTTTCTTCTGGCAACACTGCATGTATTAAAAATTTCATTTTGTCATAGATCAACTAATAAAATTCATTGTCATATTGGTTTATTGGTTTGGTAGTTTGGTACGTTTGGTATTGGTACCATAATTAACAAACGTACATTAATTACAGTAATTGTAGTATACTATTCCTAGTAATACCACTTTCTTTCAGTAGGTACCAGGCGAATGGATTATATTTCTACTGGTCCGGAGACTAATCCCAAAATCGAGGATGATTCAACATCTAAACAAATTCTTGAGTATTATAGGAAATATTCACAAAACCAAGGATTAACTAAATATTTCTCTGGCACTCCACTATCATATCTCCCAGAGATCAAAGATGATTATGTGTTCAATGAATTACCGGATTCTGATATTCCTAATATTATTATTGAAAGTGATGTTGATATTATTTTGGTAACAAATCCCAGTACATCCAAAGAAAATGAACAATCTGCTTCATCTCCTACTAGTAGTGTAAATCATAAATTGGAATGGGACAGTCTAGCAGATATTGGCTATACAAATACCAACATTACAAAACAATTTCATAGCAATTGTTTATTCCCTTCATTATCTGAAAAGAAAGATGAGACTCAGAAATATAAAAATACTCCATCTGATGGTATGGATAATATAAAGTTAATTATTTTTCCTTATTCAAGTGGTTCAGAAGAGGTTGAAAATCTCAAGGATTATTCCTCCTCATCCTCATTTCCAGAGGATAAAAAGATGTGTTCTTCAACCTGCTCAAATACAAGTATATATAGTATGAATATTCAAAAACCATGTACCTCTAGTTCCCAGTCAACATCATCTGAGAAAATATCCCATTTCAAGAACACACTATCATATTTGAAGAAAAAAATTGGATTACCAGATGCCCATTCAACACCAAATATTGATGAAAAACATAATGATGATTTTACTGGTATTTCTGAAACACCAATTGCTAAACAAATTGAGAAACCAATCAAAAATATATTGACCAATGAAGATTACTATGGAAGCTTTGATATTCTTGAAAATGAACCTGGAGATGGTCACTTACACAATATAACACAACTACAAGAACAAGGAAGTGATGGAGTAAATACTGTGGTCAAAAGAGTTATTAATCTGTGTCAAACTGAACCACTTGCATTAGAATGCATACCAACTCAACCTAAATTTGAAAATAAAAATATGCAAACTAAATCCAAGTATCAAATTAATGTAGCTGTCCAAACTCTGCCCAGTTCAGAAAAAAATAAAGGGAGAACTGCAAATCAGGCTCAACAAAATGTTAATCAATGTCTTATGCATGAAAATCATTCTGAAACTAATAAGATCAATCTCAAAAGTACAGGAACTGGTTCTGAAATATCACATTCTGACAGTTTCAATCCCATAAAGAAGGATCCATTGAAATTTGGTTCTGAAATAGATGTCCATGTAAACAAGGTGGAATTATCCAATGATGTTGGAAATAATGGTGATGAGAATAGCAATAACAAAAACAATAATATAGATATTGATTATTGCCAGATTTCTTCAGAAGATATTCATATGGCTAATGCAATTGTTTCCAGTACTATTGAAAACCCAAGTGATTACATTGAAAAATATATTCATCTGTTCCAGAGGCTTCTTAGATCTAAGAAATATGATTCAGTAACAAAAAAACATTACTTGAAGAAAATTATCAAGAAAATTACTGAATCAAAATATCTTGAAGAGTCAAGTACAAGTTCTGATTTGTTCCTCCCAAAAAAATATAATTCAAATTCTCAAACTCTTCCTGATGTCAAATTTGTTCCTACCAGCACTGACTCTACTGAAGAAAAATCATTGAGAAATAATAGTTCAAAATGTATTATCAGTGAAGGAAAGTTGCAGAAAAAGAGAACATTTCAAATAAAATGTTCTCATCAGGATATCATGCCAAATGCATCTATCCCCATGAATGAAATATCAAATTCTGATGATATTGTAGGAGTTGATGTAGAAAGTGTAAATAATTCAATCATTCATACTAATAAGGAATCATTCAATGATAATCAAAGTACAGATAAGTTGCAACAAAAATCTAACCATTTTTATTCAGACACTGTGAGCCCTAATGTGAGCAAAGACAAACAACAATATGGTTCTACTTCCACTTCAAAATCATACAAGAATTGGAAGGATAACAAGACTATTTCTGAAAAAATTCTTGACCAAATTAATTTACCAAGTTGTGATGGTGACTACTTGATCAAAGTTGCAAATGAGGATAGAAACTACCAAGTTAACTGCATTGAAACAAAAATGAACAAATTAGTAAATTCAAGCAGATCATCAGAAAAACAACCAGTTGAACTGTTGACCATGAAGAGTCAGAAAATGGTGCCAAAGACTACTTCAGCTTATACTGTATCTGAGAAAAGTGACAATGAGTTGATAATGAGAAGAAATTTTGTCATCCAGACTAATTTGGGTGCAGGGTCTTCCAAAAATAAATTTTTCTGCTTGGACGGCAGAAAATATGTGCTTGAGAATTCCACCAATGAAAATAAAAATTCAGAAAAATCAGGGCAAGTGTTTGCTGATCTAGAAATTGTTTTATCTGATACCACAACCAATATTAAAGTTACTACTTCTTGTGAGAATTGTAAAACTTCCCCATGTGTTTGCCAATGCCAATATTCCAAAGATACTGATCAACCAAGGTCTCACAGAACACATAGAGAGCTAAGAAAAAATGTTTGTTACAAATGCAGTAAACTATGTTGCAGTTGTTCATCTACTGAATCTAAATCTGGTGAATGGATTTGTTCATTTTGTTGTACATCTCCATGTTTGTGTACTGATAAATTTAAAGACAATGAAACAAGATATGAATTTGCATATAAAAAATGCATGATTTGTGGGGCTCATTCAAGTCATTGTACTCATGATGTAATCCTACAGGAGAAATGTTTACCTACTAATTCAGCAAAAGTCAAGGCAAAAATGAAGAAGACATCAGAGGGTTCTGCAAATTCTTCTGTACAATCCTCAAAATGTGAAGATTCTTCCCACAGACAACAAATCAATACAGCAGACAGCTTCACCAAAAGTGCTGGTAAGTTGGTAATGTTACTTGTGCTACTTATATATACTTACTACTTATAGCTAGTTGCATTTGGATTGCATTGTCACTTTTGCCACATATTGAAAAATGATACCAGTTGATGAATTGACATCCAAGATTTACCTATACTATAAATCTGCAAAATATGGTGATGTTGTAAGTATCTTAATCTAATGTATGGAAATTTTATTGAAATCAAAATTATTGAGGAAAGGACAAAAGTGCAATTCAAAGTACAGCTACTTTATTATGGAATTCAATGAAGTTGAAATTATAAACAAAATTCACCTCTAAGAAAACAAATGCAATAAGAATGCTCTCCATTATTAATATATTCTTGAATTAAATGAAACACAATCATATTGGATACAGCAAAATTATTTAAAAAAATGTCAACTGTAATACACTTAACACAATCATGTTGAATTTGAAGTCATAAAAAATGTATCAACTTTCAGACAATATCCATAGCAGATGTTGAAAATGATCTGCATTTATTTTATTTATCCTAGAATCAAATAAACACAATCCATGTTAGATTTGAAACTAAAAAAAAGTCAATTCTTAACTCACTCAAAATCATGTTGAATTCGAAATTATATAAAATAATCACCTCTACTACAATGTTTACAAGAGATGTTGAAAATGTTCTCCATTATTTTGCAGACAGTCACTCTTCTTTTTAGATTATCATATCATATATAACACATGTCTTAGTTGATCCCCAGTAGGTAATACCTTGAATTTCTCATTCGATGGCTTCTTGGAGCTATATCATGTGATGGATTCCTTAAGACATTGTTTTCAGAAAAAATCTGGTGGGGTAGGATCAAGAGATCTTGGTGGCCAAACCAGTGGGTTTATAATGTGCCTATCATAATATTGTTCAAGAAACTGATTAGTTCCTCTAGCTGTGTGAGCTGTAGCTCCATCCTTTTGGAAATATCCAAACTGAAGTTCATCATCATGAACTTGCTCACCATATTCTGATTTCTTTCAGCATTTACTGTATCCTGAACAAAAATGGGCCATATAATTCTTCTTCTAGAAATTGCAACCCAAGCTCCAATTTTCATAGGATTTAAACTTGACTCTTTGAAATTATGAGGATTTTCTGTAGCCCAAGTATGGTCATTTTCACTGTTGATGTACTGTGATAGGTAGAACCAGGCTTCATTAGTGAAAAAAGTTGAATCTCGCACATCATTATTGTTATGAGTTTATATGGACTTTGTTATAAAGACCTTGTGTTTATTATTATAATTAAACACTGATAATTATTTATATAATGTAATAAGTATTTTACATTAAATAATTGCATCAACTTATGACATGATTATATTTGAGAGTCCCCATACATAGAACACTAATCATGAAGATTATAGGCATAGAACACACAACTACTGTATGGATGATAGAACATCAGAATCTTAGCCTAAGCTAGGCCTTCATGTTACATGTCCCCCTTTGAAATTCATACTCTCATATCAAATTCTTTGAAGTGTAGGGGAACCTTCACAATTCTTCCTCTAGTTGTCTTCTTGGGGCTGGAAGTTGGCTGGTCGAGTACTGTGGCTTCAGGAGGTGACGGGTTGGACCCTTCAACTGGTTTAATGGGGGTACGCTCCATTTCCTCTGTACACTTCTTTTCAGGTGTCTGTGGTTTGATACCTTCTCTCAAGTGTGTCCGGTTTCTCCTATATGTTCCTCCTTGGTCTAGTTCTACTATGTAACTCTCTGGTGCACGGTCTGATTTCACAACTGTAGCGGGAGACCACTCCCTTTTGCTTTCTTGTACCATCACATGTTGTCCAACATGGAGATTACTAAGAGGTTTCTTCCCGGCATTGTAGTAGTGAGCTTGGTGTTCCTGTTTGCCTTCCAAGACCTCTATGTTTTTCCTCGTTTCAAATAAGGGCTTCAAGGCACTTCTGCTCTGTGGAACAGTGGTATTGAACCTTCTTCCGTTTAACATCTCACAAGGAGCTGGTAAGTCAGATTTCGGAGTGGCATTGTAGTCCATGACAATTAGATATGGGGGTGTTTATTTTCACTCTTGATAATCAGACCTTTTATTGTTTGAATATGTCTCTCCACAAGACCATTTGACTGGGCGTACTTGGGACTTGATGTGATTTGAGAGATATCCAATTCTTGAAGAAATAACTTGATTGATTGATTGAAGCTCACTACTACAATGCCGGGAAGAAACCTCTTAGTAATCTCCATGTTGGACAACATGTGATGGTACAAGAAAGCAAAAGGGAGTGGTCTCCCGCTACAGTTGTGAAATCAGACCTTTTATTGTTTGAATATGTCTCTCCACAAGACCATTTGACTGGGCGTACTTGGGACTTGATGTGATTTGAGAGATATCCAATTCTTGAAGAAATAACTTGAACTTTTTGGAATCAAAAGGTGGTCCATTATCAGACATGATTACAGCTGGTAAGCCATGTGACTTGAAAACTGATAACAGAGCTTCTATGACAGAGTCGGCATCTTTTCTTGTCATTATTGCTAATTCCACAAACTTGGAATGGTAATCACATATCAATAAGTAGTTTTGTGAACCTACTTGCATAAAATCAATGGCAATTTTCTCCCACGGCAATTCTGGCACAGGGTGTGGCTGCAAGGGCTGTCTGATGTTGGACTTCGAATACTTCAAACATGTTAAACAAGAAGAAACTAAATTGGTTATATGTTGATTGATGTTAGGCCAAAATACTGATTGTTGAGCTTTCTTTTGACAAGCATTGATACCTTGATGAGATTGATGTAATTTGTTCAAGATGTCCAATCGATAGCTCTTAGGAATTATGATTTGATTTCCTCTGAACACAAATCCATCCAACTCATGGATTTCATCTCTGTAGGGATAATAAGGTTTGCCCTTTTCTCTTACAGATGTGATATGATTTGGCCAACCATTTCTCATGTAGTATCTTACTGTCTCCAATTCATCATCCTCTTCTATTGCTTTCTCCAGATCTTCTCGTTTTTGATCGCTCATTATAACAATGGATCTAACATTAACTTCGTTGAGGTATTCAGTGTTTTGGGTTCTCTTAAGAGGTTTCCTGGACAATAAATCTGGAATGTACAATTCTTTGCCAGGGATAAACTCCAATTTAATATCGTATTTCAGCAACCTTATCATTAGTCTTTGTAACCGAGGAGACAAAATATCAAGTGGTTTGTTGACAAGGCCAAGAAGTGGTTTATGGTCAGTTTTGACTACAAATTTGCGGCCATATAAGTAGTAGTGGAACTTTTCACAGCCTAAGACAATGGCAAGTAGCTCCTTCTCAATTTGAGCATAGTTACGTTGACTGGTATTCAATGAGGCAGACCAGAATGCTATTGGGTGGTCTTCCTGGGATATATGTCCTCCAATTCCAAATTGAGAAGCATCTGTGGCTTAAGTTGTGGTCAATTCAGGATTGAAATAACTTAACACAGGAGCATTTGCTATTGAAATCTTCAATTTATTGAAGGCATTTTCTTGACTGTCACTCCAATTCCATGGTATATCTTTCCTCAGAAGCACTCTCAATGCTGCAGTTTCCTGTGCAACATTTGGAATAAACTTGCTTAAAAAATTGATAGTGCCTAAAAACATTTGCAGTTCTTTAACGTTGGTAGGCCTTTCCATATGTAGTACTGCTTCTACTTTAGAATCATCAATTTCAATACCTTTGTTGGATACTTGATGTCCTAAAAAATGGATTTTATCACAAGCTGCCTGTAACTTTTCCAACTTAAATTTGATGTATTCTTTAGCTCTCTTCAGAAATGTTATTAATCTCTTATTATGTTCTTCAATGGTAGTTCCTGTTATCAATATGTCATCGAAATATGCACAAGTGCCTTCTATACCATATATCAATTCATTGATATAGCTTTGAAATATTTCTGGTGCATTTGATAAGCCATATGGTAGTCTTTTGTATTTGTATCTGCCAAATGGAGTTTGGAATACACACAGGTTTGAGCTGGTTTCATCAAGTGGTATCTGATGAAAAGCTGATGATGCATCTAGAACGGTGAAGAACTTAGCACCATTTAATGAAGCAAAAATAGATTCAATTCTTGGAAGTTCCAATCTCTGTCTGATTATAATAGTTATTTATGTAATAAGGATCATAAAGACGATCATTATGGTACAAGTCGTGAATGTTATCGGGCGAGGCGTAGCCGAGTCCGATAACACGGCGTGTGCCATAATGATTGTTTATGATTCGTATTACATACAAAATTTTATCTGATGGCATTTATATCAATACATTTTCGAAAAATTAAAAACTGCATTTTCGACATGTCACAATGACAACTATTTTTAAAGGAGTAAGTATTGTGTAGTTTCAAATATTAGTAGGTGAGTGAGCTGTGCTTTGCCATTATATTAATATTAGAAATAATTGTAGTAATTGTTCTTTTACCATTTATAATAAATAGTTTTGTACATAGTTATGCATTTTGAATAAACTTTTTTGATCAAACCATTACATGTTTTCCTTATAGAATTTCATTATGGTACTTAGTACCATAATGAATTCATTATGGTACTTAGTCCCATAATGAATTCATTATGGTACTTAGTCCCATAATGAGCTTCCTTATGTCATCAAAATTGAGTGACATAACGTTGTCATTATGACATGCCATCAGATAAACTTGTTTAGGGGCCTTGGATCCATACATAACCTGATATTTCCATCTTTCTTCTCGGTTACTACAATGGCATGTACCCAATCTGTAGGAACATCTATTTTGGAAATGATTCCCTGAGACTCTAGTTTGTCTAAAGCATGCTTGACAGGTTTATTCAGAGCCAATGGTATCTTCCGACATCTAGCAATGTGTGGTTCTGCATCTTGTTTTAATTTAATTGTGCAGGGTTTATTAAAACATCCCATTCCTTCAAATACTGAAGCGTATTCTTGTAAGATAGCTTTTGTTTTTTGATGAATGTCTAATTCTGCAACTTTCTTCATTGTTTTTGTATTTGCTTCTATGGAGTTAACTCTATTTATCAGCTGAAGATCTAGTGTTGTGGATAACCCTAGGATTGGTTCAGAGTTTTGTTGTATTATGAAATATTCAACCAATTTTTCTATATCCTTGAACTTAGTATTCAATTTGCAAACTCCTAGTATTTCTAGTTTTGTCTTGCTGTAGGACACTAGAATTTTGTCAGTTTCTTGCAATTTAGGTTTTTTGTTCAATAATGTATAATGTTTGTGTGGTAAAATATTCACTTCACTGCCAGTGTCTACCTTGAA